TAATACTGAAGGACTAATTTTACAGTTCGTGGCTTTTCTCCTCAAGAGTCAACTTTGCCGTAAGTCCCTTCTGGTGGTCGGTAGCACTTGGGAAAGGCCATCAGCTGCAGCATGTTGAAGGCATATTTCCTGCATTTAATATTCTTTTGAACATTCTCAATGCGACATCCTTCTCTGATGATCAAATGATGAAGGTGAAAGGTGGAAAAAAGAGAACAAAAAAGTAAACATGAGTGAGGTTTGAAATTAAGTTTGGGGTATTAATGATACACACGCCTTCAAAAGACAAACAAAATAAAGAACCTGAACATTTTGTGCACTACTTTGTGGCTGCTTTGGGATAAAGAAAGCACAAAACTATGCAGTAAATATGGGATCCGTAGTGTTGTTGTTTGCACATTAGTTTGGAAGTGAACTTTGTCAAATCAAACCTGCAGAGCAACCTGCTGTGGGGCGAATAGTTCTTACAAGTGTTCTTGGATAAATGGTTCTCAGAGAGAAGTAAATGAAACTGAAGATTTTTCACACAGCTGTGAGACAATACAAGAGAGTGTCGTGGTTAGTGAAATACATATTGAGCATAATCGAGATCAGTCTATTGGTGCAGGCCTCCACAACCGGCTAAGTTTCTCCTGTGGGAATTAATTGCCCAACCAAACTCGTGAGTTGGAAGTCAGGATAGGATACTAAACAAAATGTCACCAAGGAGAAAACATGCAGAAAATCTCACCTCCAGGCCATTTGATGGGCTAATGAGAAATATTGAGTCTGACACCCTGGTAATGCTAAAAGGAGAAGGCAAGTTTCCCAGCGGTCTAGATAAACCATTAAAAACATGTATTTTTAACAGAACAGCAGGACCCTGTTGACCCATGTGGAGCTAGCTTGGCATTTAAATCAACTGTTCTGTGTTTAACCCTCCCATCTGAAGCTCCGCAGTACATCGCATCCACTCCACAGATCCACACACAAACTCTGTCTGTTTGTCTCCGTCTCTGCTATACTCAAACTGTGGAACACTTGGCCAGCTTTAACCTTATGCACAGTTTCCATCTACGCCAGTCTCCCATTGCCTTCAGTGATTTATAAACATTTTGTTCCATCCTAAAATTAGACACAAGTCAGAAAAAAGTAGACCCAAAAGCAGGACACTGTTTGTGGCACGTTGGAGGACAGCTTTTGGGACTGTGCTAGCCTCAGCTAGTTCAAGTAGTAACACAACTTCTAGAGAAGCACAGTGTAACGCTGCAAGCAAGGCAACTGTCTGATCTTTGAGAATGACGGCTTATGATATCAATTACTAGTAACCCCCCCTCCCCAAAAAAAAAAAAAACAACAACCCCAAAACACAATTCTCTAAGTAAAATAGTAAGAACCTCGACAGTTCAGGAGTCAATGGTCAATGAACCGGTACATCTCATATGTAGACGTGTCATCTGGAAAAAGGTATATTTTTTTATTCTTGCAGTCCCGCAAGCACAAAAAAATGTGTGCATGAGAAGCCGTGGGAACATGAGCTACACGCAGTTATGATTTCAACTCTTACCGTATGTGTGCAGAGGTATGTATTTCAATATGTATACAGTATGACTACTTAAGAAATGCCCACAGGGTTAGGAAGAACTCAATGCACTGCAGACAATACATGTCAGTGAATGAAACAAAACCCCACAAACAGTGCACCACATATACAGAAACGCTATCAATCAAAGACATCTGTCTTCAGTTTATTTAGACTGTACAAATGCCAGAGATCTTTCAAAATAATTTTTATGTTCGTTTTTGTTGTTTGATTAATATGTCTGTATATTTAAAAGAGTTTCTAATGTTTAAAAAATGTTCCATCTGTTATTCTTGTGTGTTATGTCTAGGGATGGGTACCGGTATCCGGTGCCATTATGGCACATTTTACCTTTGCAAGCGTAGTAGGCGGGCCCAGGTACGTACGTTCTTTTAGAGCAGA